AGACCATCCTGGTCAACATGGTGAAACCCTGTCTCTACTAAAAATACAAAAAATTAGCTGGGCATGGTGGCACGTGCCTGTAATCCCAGCTACTCAGGAGGCTTAGGCAGGAGAACTGCCTGAACCCAGGAGATGGAGGTTGCGGTGAGCCGAGATCGTGCCATTGCACTCCAGCCTGGGTAACAAGAGCAAAACTCTGCCTCAAAAAAAAACAAAAACAAAAACAAAAACAAAAAAAAAACGTATCCACCACAATCAAGTTAGCTTCATTCCTGGGATGCAAGGCTGGTTCAACATATGCAAATTTATAAATGTAAACCATCACATAAGCAGAACCAATGACAAAAACCACATGATTATCTCAATAGATGCAGAAAAGGCCTTTGATAAAATCCAACATCTCTTTATGCTAAAACACTCAATAAACTACATATTGATGGAACAAATATCAAAATAATAAGAGCTATTTATGACAAACCTACAGCCAATATGATACTGAATGGACAAAAGCTGAAAGTATTCCCTTAGAAAACTGGCACAAGACAAGGATGCCCTTTCTCACAACTCCTATTCAATATAGTATTGGAAGTTCTGGCTAGGGCAATCAGACAAGAGAAAGAAATAGAGTATTCAGATAGGAAGAGAGAAAGTCAAATTGCAGTTGCCGATCACATAATTTTATATTTAGAAAACTCCATTGTCTCAGCCCAAAAACTCCTTCAATGTACAAAAATCACAAGCATTCCTATACACCAATAATAGAGAGCCAAATCATGAGCAAACTCCCATTCATAATTGCTACAAAGAGAATAAAATACCTAGGAATACATCTTACAAGGGATGTCAAGGATCTCTTCAAGGAGAACTACAAAACACTGCTCAAGGAAATAAAAGAGGACACAAACAAATGAAAAGCATTCCATGCTCATGGATAGGAAGAATCAGTATCGTTAAAATGGCCATACGTCAAAAGTAATTTATAGATTCAATGTTATCCCCATCAAGCTACCATTGATTTTCTTCACAGAATTAGAACAATCTACTACAGATATATACTACAAATATATATACTACAATCTACTGCAGATATATAGACCAATGGAACAGAACAGAGACCTCAGAAATAACACCACACATTTACAATCATCTGATCTTTGACAAAATTGACAAAAACAAGCAATGGGGAAAGGATTCCCTATTTAATAAATCGTGTTGGGAAAACTGGCTAGTCATGTGCAGAAAGCTGAAACTGGACCCCTTCCTTACACCTTATACAAAAATTAACCCAAGATTGATCAAAGATTTAAATGTAAGACCTAAAACCATAAAAACCTAAAAGAAACCTAGGCAAAGCCATTTAAGACACAGGCATGAGCAAAGACTTCATGACTAAAACACAAAAAGCAATGGCAACAAAAGTCAAAATAGACAAATGGGATCTAATTAAAATAAAGAGCTTCTGCACAGCAAAACAAACTATCATCAGAGTAAACAGGCAACCTAGAGAATGGGAGAACAGTTTTGCAATCTATCCATCTGACAAAGGGCTAATATCCAGAATCTACAAGGAACTTAAACAATTTTACAGGAAAAAAAAACATTGAAAAGTGGGTGAAGGATATGAATAGGTGAAGGATATGAACACTTTTCAAAAGAAGATATTTATGCAGCCAACAAACATATGAAAAAAGGTTGAGCATCATTGGTCATTAGAGAAATGCAAATCAAAACCACAATGAGATACCGTTTTATGACAGAACAGTGATCATTAAAAGGACAGGAAACAACAGATGATGGAAAAGGTGTGGAGAAATAGGAATGCTTTTACACTGTTGGTGGGAGTGTAAATTAGTTTAATCATTGTGGTAGACAGTGTGGCAATTCCCCAGGGATCTAGAACTAGAAATACTACTTGACCCAGCAATCCCATTATTGTGTATATACCCAAAGAATTATAAATCATTTTACTATAAAGACACATGCACACGTTTCACAATAGCAAAGACTTGGAACCAACCCAAATGCCCACCAGTGTTAGACTGGATAAAAGAAAATGTGGCTCATATACACCATGGAATACTATGCAGTCATAAAAAGAACGAGTTCATGTCCTTTGTAGGGACATGGATGAAGCTGGAAACCATCATTCTCAGCAAACTAACAGAGGAACAAAAAATCAAACACTGCATGTTCTCAATTGTAAGTGGGAATTGAACAATGAGAATATATGGGCACAGGGTGGGGAATATCGCACACTGGGGCCTGTCAGGAGGGTGGGGGGCAAGAGGAAGGATAGTATTAAGATAAATAGCTAAAGTAGCTGATGGGTTGATAGGTGCAGCAAACCACCATGACACATGTATGCCTACGTAACAAGCCTGCACATTCTGCACATGTATCCCAGAACTTAAGGCATAATGAAAAAAAAATTCAAAAATATCTTATGAGTATTTTTATACTGAAAAAGTGTAATAAAAACATTTTGGCTATATTATGTAAATAAAATAAGTTTTGAAGTTTATTTACCCTTTTTCTTTCTACTTTTTTTTTTAAAAAATATGACTACTAGAAAATATTAAATTACGTATATAATTTCCGTTATATTTCTACAAGACAGCATGGAATTCTATATTGCCTACTACCTCTTTTTACTAGATTCTATATTTTTCTGCTGTTATTACATTGTGTTATTTTTTAACACATGTATCAGATGTTTGGCACATATAAATCTCTTGGTCAGCTTATACATTCAAATTATTCTCATAGACATGATTATCAGGTCATGTTACTCCATCCTGCATTTGTCCCTTTGAAACTAACTGCAAGACGTATACTAATAAATGTGTATATTCTCTGCTCTTAAATTGAGCAGTTGAGTTGAAGACTCTACATATTTTTCCTCTCAAATATTATTTTAATGAAGCTATTGATATGGAAGTCCTGAATTTCAGTGCTATTTCTACTGCTATTATTCCAATTAGAAAAGACACCCTGTTTAATCTGTTTTTTTTTTTTAAATTTTAAGACATTACATTGCCCTTTATTAACTTCTGATTCCAAAATTTCATTTTTCTGATAAATTAATTCTTATTTCTGTGATGTTTGATAGATTTTTTTCCTTAAGAATAAGGGGCCTGAAATGAAATAAAGCTCCCAACTTTTCCTGGGGATAACTATTATCAATGGTTCCTGGCTGGTAAACCAGCTTGAGGGGGTGGGAGACGATTTGTACCATTTGCTAATTTCTGTAATGTAGCTACTCTCACCATCTTAACCAATTTCAAGCATCAACTGGCTTGTAAAATTCCAGGAAATTTAAAAATTAACTCTCTCAAAGCAATAAGAACTAGCTTTAGAACCCATTTATTTTGAGCTGTATCTTTTTTCTTGATTTTTCCCTTGTTTCTGCCTGCCCAGTAGCAAAAGTCTTGCTCATCCTTAATGCCAATTAAATAGGGTTCTTTTTTCTCTTCTTACTGCAGCCATCATAATTGAGAAATGCATAGCTTCACTCTACTACAACTACCTCCTTGATTTGTTGCATAGAATCTTCAGAATCTTACCTTCCATACCTACCTGGCCGCATGTCCCTGTTTACTCAGCACAAGCAATGGTTGTCCTTGCACTCCTCAATGAATGCGCCTTTGTTCAGTGTGTCCCTGTGCCGCTATTTCCTGTATCATAATAAATCCTTCCCATCCTTCCAGGAGTTCTGAAGTTACATGTCCTTCCTAAGTTGTCCCTTGATCCTCTTCCTCCCATTTAATTTTTCCTCTCTTCACACCTGTGAAAATAACCACTGTGATTTTCACTTGGGCATTCATCATTTGCTACCTCATTATTTATATCACATTGTTATAACCCCTGTATTACTACTTACACAATCCATGATTTGGTTAACTTCCTGTGTTTCTTGCACACTGTCCTTAGTCTAGGGACTGTTTGCCACACTTCTGTGCTCACTCTAAATATAATTCGTTCGGTACTATGTACGGGGGCACCTTGCATTTCCAACTTTGCCTATGATATAGCCTTGTTGCCTTGGACTACTCACTTCATTTTCCGGAGCTTCAGTTTCCTTGTCTCTAAGATAGCAATACTGATATTTTCTGTTCGAAATGATTATTAGAATACTTACAATGTAGGGAAAATAACTTTCATAATGCTGTACAATAAACTTATTTTCAGCATTACCAAATTTATTATAGCAGGTAGTCAGGAAGTATGTCTTCATGAAGTGTGTAGAGAGTAGAATTATAGTTACCAGAGTCTGGGAAGGGGTGGGGGCCATAAAGAGAGGTTGGTTAGTGGGAACAAAGAGACAGTTAAATAGCAGGAGTGAGTTCTTGTGTTTGACAACACAGTAGGGTGATGATAGTTAACAGCAATTTATGGTATATTTCCAAATAGCTAGAAGAGAAGATTTGAAATGTTTCAATGCAAAGAAATGATGAATGTGTACGGGTGCAGTGGTTCACACCTGCAATCCCAGCATTTTGTGAGGCTGAGGTGTGCAGATCACAAGGTCAGGAGTTCGAGACCAGCCTGGCCAACATAGTGAAACCCCATCTCTACTAGAAATACAAAAATTAACTGGGTGTGGCGGCACACATCTGTAGTTCCAGCTACTTGGGAGGCTGAGGGGGAAGAATTACTTAAACCCATGAGGCAGAGGTTGCAGTGAGCCGAGACCATACCATTGTACTCCAGCCTGGGTGAAAGAGTGAGACTCCATCTAAAAAAAAATAATGGTGAATGTTTGAAGGGATGGATATCCTAAATACCCTGATTTGATCCCTACCCATGGTATATATGTATCAAAATATCATATGTATCTCATAAATGTGTATAACTATTATGTATCAATAAAAATGTAAATACATAAATAAAAAGAGCAAACATATAACAAAAGTAAATTTAGATTTGTTAATATTTTAATATGGATCATAGTCTATCAACAATGTATTATGTATATTTTTCTCTTTATAAATTCTTTATAGAACATCTTGCAAATCCAGACCATACACAATAAGTATTTGAGTGACTCAAATCCACTAAAAGTTGGATATATTAGAATCTGGGGTATGAACTCTACTACCTATGTGACACAAGTCAGTTTCACCTATGACGACCAGCAATTTATGGAGAGAAATTTCCAGAGTGACCCTTATAAACAGGTAGGTCTGAAAGGAATATTAGCATATCACAAGTAAATTTTGTCATTCTGCAAAATTATCACCAATACTTTTGCTAGCAATTAAAATTATCATTGTTATATTCTCATATATTAGCAGGTTATAAATATGTGCAATAGATATGTTCCTGAAAAGTTGCAAATGTTGAATCACATTGTAAAATGTGCAACATTAGTGGTCTTTTCAATATAGCCTAGGGGTCAGTGATCACTGGCCTGATGAGATCCACTCCATGTATTTATCAAAGAGACTGCTATGTTTTGATAGGTTGGTCTTCCACGTTAGCAAAATAAAACTTCTTTCTGCTGTAGAGGCTAAAACAGAGGAAAGGGTGATTCCCTAAAGCTGTTGAAGGTTTCCGCATCCTTCCTGCAGTTATTCATGTCCCTGGTCAAACTGATGGATCTTACGGGTGGATGAAAATTGGCAGTAAACTGTGGTGATCATCAGGTGAATATATTCACCTGTGGCATAAGATAAAAGGTTGACAAAACAGTAGGACAGAAATAGCAGGCCCTACCTGAGGATTCTAGAACCAACTAAACTAGAATTTTAGAAGATGAAATACCAATCATTACCAAAGGCAACTACAAAAAGAAGTATCTCACTTTTAGAACATAAGACTTCATAAACACAGAATCAGCAACCCGTAATGGATAGTTTAGAAAAGTGAAAATGGACAACCATAGATCTTTTTTTTCTATAAGGTGAAGTGGGCACCCTGATGGTATTTGGACTCTGAAAAATGGCCCCTCTGAGTGCTCAAATAGATACTCTCCCTTTAAGCTCTTCTGGGCATTTATCTTAAAGCATTTTACCTAGACCATTGAGTTCAAAACTACTCTTTGTAAGTAATTACTTCCAGTTAAGATTGTGTAGAAGATCCTTGAAGACCTCTTTTTTAAAACTCTATGGCGTATCTGATGCCTATTATGTGCCAGACACTATACTGTTTGGAATAAGGAAAACATGAAACTACCTTGCTGTGAAGAAGACTAAAACCCAATGGCAAAACAAAGAGATTTTAATAAATGTTGTTTTTATCACAGCTGCAAATATTTGTAAACAATAAGGTTCTGACTAAATGAAGTGAAAAGAAATAGCATAGGGATTATGCACACAGAGCCTCTCTTTGTATTTATCTGACTGGAATCAATATGACCTAACCTAAAAAGGAACGTTTATATCTTATTACTGGAAATGAATGAATACATCGTTTTTTATTAAATTGTAATTTAAGAGGTGACCTACGTGTAGGTTTAAGAAGTTCTAAAATACTCATTTATGTCTTTTCTTTTCTGACAGACACTAACTATTCAATTGACTGACAAGATTATCAACCTGGAAAAGTTAACTAATGTTACTTGGATTTATGGTGGTCCTGTCCTTCCTACTCCAACTAAGACAAGTACCATCCCAACGAGTTCTCATCCTCCTCCATCTACTACTAATGCTACCAGTTCTGAGACTATCACTGGTTTTGCCAGTGCAAATACTACCACTGGCACTACTTCTACTGCTCCTATCACAACCACAACTTTTGCAAGAAGTACTGTTGGTGTTACAACTAGTACTACTGTTCCTGATACAACTGCTCCTTTCCCTACAAGTACTACTAGTGCTAGCACTACTGTTACTGTTCCTATCACAACCACACTTTTTACAACAAGTACTGTTGGTGCTACAACTAGTACTACTGTTCCTGATACAACTACTCCTTTACCTACAAGTACTACTAGTGCTAGCACTAGTGTTACTGTTCCTATCACAACCACACCTTTTGCAACGAGTACTGTTGGTGTTACAACAGGTACTACTGTTCCTGATACAACTGCTCCTTTCCCTACAAGTACTACTAGTGCTAGCACTAGTGTTACTGTTCCTGTCACAACCACACCTTTTGCAACAAGTACTGTTGGTGTTACAACTAGTACTACTGTTCCTGATACAACTGCTCCTTTGACTACAAGTACTACTAGTGCTAGCACTACTGTTACTGTTCCTATCACAACCACACTTTTTACAACAAGTACTGTTGGTGCTACAACTAGTACTACTGTTCCTGATACAACTGCTCCTTTCCCTACAAGTACTACTAGTGCTAGCACTAGTGTTACTGTTCCTATCACAACCACACCTTTTGCAACAAGTACTGTTGGTGCTACAACTAGTACTACTGTTCCTGATACAACTGCTCCTTTCCCTACAAGTACTACTAGTGCTAGCCCTAGTGTTACTGTTCCTATCACAACCACACCTTTTGCAACAAGTACTGTTGCTGTTACAACCAGTACTACTGTTCCTGATACAACTGCTCCTTTCCCTACAAGTACTACTAGTGCTAGCACTAGTGTTACTCTTCCTATGACAACCACACTTTTTACAACAAGTACTGTTGGTGCTACAACTGGTACTACTGTTCCTGATACAACTGCTCCTTTCCCTACAAGTACTACTAGTGCTAGCACTAGTGTTACTGTTCCTATCACAACCACACCTTTTGCAACAAGTACTGTTGGTGTTACAACTAGTACTACTGTTCCTGATACAACTGCTCCTTTCGCTACAAGTACTACTAGTGCTAGCACTAGTGTTACTGTTCCTGTCACAACCACACCTTTTGCAACAAGTACTGTTGGTGTTACAACTAGTACTACTGTTCCTGATACAACTGCTCCTTTCCCAACAAGTACTACCAGTGCTAGGACTAATGTTACTGTTCCTATGACAACCACACCTTTTGCAACAAGTACTGTTGGTGTTACAACTAGTACTACTGTTCCTGACACTACTGCTCCTTTCCCTACAAGTACTACCAGTGCTAGCACTAATGTTACTGTTCCTATCACAACCACACCTTTTGCAACAAGTACTGTTGGTGTTACAACTAGTACTACTGTTCCTGATACAACTGCTCCTTTCCCTACAAGTACTACCAGTGCTAGGACTAATGTTACTGTTCCTATGACAACCACACCTTTCGCAACAAGTACTGTTAGTGTTACAACTAGTACTACTGTTCCTGACACTACTGCTCCTTTCCCTACAAGTACTACCAGTGCTAGCACTAGTGTTACTGTTCCTATCACAACCACACCTCTTGCAACAAGTACTGTTGGTGCTACAACAAATACTACTGTTCCTGATACAACTGCTCCTTTCCCTACAAGTACTACTAGTGCTAGCACTAGTGTTACTGTTCCTATCACAACCACACCTTTTGCAACAAGTACTGTTGGTGCTACAACTAGTACTACTGTTCCTGATACAACTGCTCCTTTCCCTACAAGTACTACTAGTGCTAGCACTAGTGTTACTGTTCCTATCACAACCACACATTTTGCAACAACTACTGTTGGTGCTACAACTAGTACTACTGTTCCTGATACAACTGCTCCTTTCCCTACAAGTACTACTAGTGCTAGCACTAGTGTTACTGTTCCTATCACAACCACACCTTTTGCAACAAGTACTGTTGGTGTTACAACTAGTACTACTGTTCCTGATACAACTGCTCCTTTCGCTACAAGTACTACTAGTGCTAGCACTAGTGTTACTGTTCCTGTCACAACCACACCTTTTGCAACAAGTGCTGTTGGTGTTACAACTAGTACTACTGTTCCTGATACAACTGCTCCTTTCCCTACAAGTACTACCAGTGCTAGGACTAATGTTACTGTTCCTATGACAACCACACCTTTTGCAACAAGTACTGTTGGTGTTACAACTAGTACTACTGTTCCTGACACTACTGCTCCTTTCCCTACAAGTACTACCAGTGCTAGCACTAGTGTTACTGTTCCTATCACAACCACACCTTTTGCAACAAGTACTGTTGATGTTACAACTAGTACTACTGTTCCTGATACAACTGCTCCTTTCCCTACAAGTACTACCAGTGCTAGGACTAATGTTACTGTTCCTATGACAACCACACCTTTCGCAACAAGTACTGTTGGTGTTACAACTAGTACTACTGTTCCTGACACTACTGCTCCTTTCCCTACAAGTACTACCAGTGCTAGCACTAGTGTTACTGTTCCTATCACAACCACATCTCTTGCAACAAGTACTGTTGGTGCTACAACAAATACTACTGTTCCTGATACAACTGCTCCTTTCCCTACAAGTACTACTAGTGCTAGCACTACTGTTACTGTTCCTATCACAACCACACCTTTTGCAACAAGTACTGTTGGTGTTACAACTAGTACTACTGTTCCTGATACAACTGCTCCTTTCCCTACAAGTACTACTAGTGCTAGCACTAGTGTTACTGTTCCTATCACAACCACACCTTTTGCAACAAGTACTATTGGTGCTACAACTAGTACTACTGTTCCTGATACAACTGCTCCTTTCCCTACAAGTACTACTAGTGCTAGCACTAGTGTTACTGTTCCTATAATAACCACACCTTTTGCAACAATTACTGTTGGTGCTACAACTAGTACTACTGTTCCTGATACAACTGCTCCTTTCCCTACAAGTACTGCTAGTGCTAGCACTAGTGTTAGTGTTCCTATCACAACCACACCTTTTGCAACAAGTACTGTTGGTGCTACTACTGTTACTACTGTTCCTGATACAACTGCTCCTTTCCCTACAAGTACTACTATTGCTAGCACTAGTGTTACTGTTCCTATCACAACCACACGTTTTGCAACAAGTACTGTTGGTGTTACAACTAGTACTACTGTTCCTGATACAACTGCTCCTTTCCCTACAAGTACTACTAGTGCTAGCAGTGTTGCTAATGTTCCTATTACAACCATGCCTTCCCCTACAAATACTGCTGATGCTAACACTAGTAATACTTTTTCTAATACCACTATGCCTTCTCCTACAAGTAGTACTACTATGAGTACCAGAGCTACTGTTTCCATTTCAATGACTTCTCTTCTGACAAGTACTGCTGATGCCACCATTAGTACTACTGTACTTATTGCCACTACTCCTTCTCTAGCAAGTACTACTGATGTTAGCACAAATACTACTATTTATAATATAAGTACTCCTCTTCAAACAAGTACTACTAATGCTAGCACTACTAATGTTGCTAATATAACCACTACCTCTTATACAAGTACTGATGATACTGTTCCAATTACTACTATTCCTTCTCTTGCAAATACTGGTGTTGATACTAGTAGTAATAGTTTTTCTATTATGACCACTTCTTCCTCTGAAAGTATTAATGCTACAAACACTACTCTTATGGTAACTACTTCTCCTGCAAGCACTGATGTTGCTAGTACAAATAATGAAGCTTCTGTGACAAATTCTCTTTTACCTACAATGTCTGCTGGTGATAGAACTAGTAATAGTATTTCCATATCAACTACTTCTTCTGGTAATATTGTTCCTATTGTGACTACTCCTTCTCCAAGTACTGATCCTAATAGTACAGGTAAAAATACTATTCCTGGCATAACTACTTATTACCAAACTTCTCTCACCACTCCTACCCACACTCTTACTTCTATTCCTAGCTCTACTACTCCTATTTTGAGCATGTTTCCAACAAGTAATACATTTACTACTGATAAAATTACTAATTTTACTACCCCTAGAAATGCAAACACCATTATTTTCAACACTCTTGATACAAAAAGTGCCATGATAATGGATGCTACAGTTGCTACTACCAGCACCAAAGATAATACCATGAGTCCAGATACAACAGTTACTTCCACAGACAAATTCACTACACACATCACACAGTTCACTGCTCCCCATTCTGCTACTACTACAACTCTAGGCTTAAGCCACACATCATTAGCTCCTACAAATCTTCCTAGTCTAGGCATCATTGATACTACTACTGCCAGCACTACAGCCCCTATAATGGATTTAGTTACTACAAATATTATAAATATCACCACTGAGGGAAACACAAATACAAGTACAGGAGTTGCTGCAGCTACTATGATGACAAATACTACTATAGAAACTACCACTGAGGTAATTTCAACTCTACCTCATATAAGCACACCTGGTGCCATCACCACAGATGACGTGTCTCCAACTGCACTTACCACAAATACCACCACTACCTATCCTCCAAATACCCATAGTTATGCTTTAAATATCATCTCCACAGACACTGGAGATACTACACCAAATATCACCAATGCAAACATTACCAGTATAATGCCAGGTGTTACAGATGTTATAGGTACTCCCACGAGTGTTAATGTTAGTATCACAACTATTCCTATTTTTAATACTTTTTCTACTACTTCAGACACCATAATTACTAGTACTGAAGACTCTGCCACTTCCTCACATATAAACACTGCAGATGTTACATCTACTACTAAAACTACTGCAAGCACCATTACAGTACATAGTGACACTATAGCTACACATGTTTTCAATACAAAAACTACAAATTTAATTACTACTTCTGATACAGTCTTTACAAACACTTACATTTCAAGTACCACAGTTATTCCCATCACCAATACTATAAATAGTACAGGCCATGCAGTAAATATTACTGATGCAGATAACTCTAACACTGTAACAGGTAACACCACACACATTTCTGTTTCAAATATCACAATACCCTCAGACACAATAACAACTACTGGTCTACATTTAGAAACTTCCCATATGGTAACAACAAATTCTACTACTGAGGAGTAGTGGCTAGTTATTTACCTATTACTGCAAACTAGTGCTACCACAGGTACTGCAAATATTACCAAATATGCTTTAAATACTACCACGCCTAATAGCACAATACGTACCTCTAGTACTGCACCTACTTATATTGCAAATGCCATAAGTGCTACTCTAGTTCCATGATTACTACTCAAGGCAGGATAGTTACCTCAGATAACTCCTTCAAACAACTATTACAGATATAGAAAATCAGTTATGAGATACTCTATTTTATGCTACTTAAGTTTTCACAAATATTACTCACAGCTACTCCAAACACTGTCATCATTGCAGACATGTTTAGGAAGGCTTACAATCCTTGTAGCTTTCACCAAAGAAGCTGTGGGTACTTATTTTGCAGCCATAATATGTACACTTTTTCTTTGAAATTATAGTTATTATTTTTATAACCCCATCAATTAAACTACAGATGTTTTGTATATCCTATATATCCTTGCTGCAGACTTCACAGGTAATTTTGGTATCTGAGATAACACTGCATTAGGCTCTATAAATAGTATTGTCTTAGATGTAGTTATTAAAATAGTCCAACTTGTTTCTTGAGTCACACGTCATAATACCATAACTGAGAGCACTAGTGATACCCCTGGCACTCAAATGGCTTCTATACCAACAGTTATTAATATTACAGTAGAGTATGTAATTAGTCATGCTAAAAAATGCACTTTATTTTCCTATGAACTTTTCCAAATGGCATAGCTACCAATAGAGTTATTTGCATTACACATACTAATAGTATTATTGCTTCTGAAGAGTTCCTAACTGTAGCTACAGATATGGAAAATGCTACCGTTGAAGGTCTTGTATAACCTTACTTCAGGCATTGAAATAATCTTAAGTTATAAATATTACCTATTGGTTTTACTATCATAGAAAATGATTATAGATCCTAAAAACATAAATTCCTGAACTTTGCAACCATTATTTTATAGGTACTACTAATACTCTTACTACAGATTTTATAAGTACTTTCACTTATAGATAGTATTCTCAGAAAATTGTAATCAATCTAAATTAGGAGATAGTCTTAAAGCCTCTCTGTTACCACCAATGACTGGCTCTGACTCTAGTATAAATCAGAAATTATCCAGACAGAGTTAAGTATGTAAATATACAGCATAAGGAAGACAGCTTCTGCACTGGAATCACAGTTCATAATCTTATTTGTGTTTTCTTCTATTCATACAAACTTTTCCCTTATAATTTCACTGTCCAGACTCTTCTTCATTATGTTACGGTTATCAGTCTATGCCTGGTCTTTCATATCCAAATTCATCATTTACCCTTGATCTTTTCTTAGATCACTCAGACCCCCATGAGTAGACCCATGGTTATTACCAAATCTGGTCAGTTGGGTACTATTGAAGGTTTAATGCTGGGACAGTATTCTTAAAGTTTAGTTCATGGATCCATGGAGTGCCACAGGTCTTAAAATCTACTTTCACAATGCTTCTAAGTTACCTGTTTTTTCAGTCTCATTGTCTCATTAGTATATAGTGGCATTGTCCAGAGACTCTATGCTGTACTGTGTCCCAATAGATGAATATAGAAACAGAAAAAAGAATCTAGCTGTCTTCTATTAAGCTAGACATTAAACAGATTTACAAAATATAAAATAATGCCATTCTTCTTACTAATTTTTCTTTTGCTTTGGAAAATATAGTTATTTTTCATTAAAACATATTTATGTTATCACAAAGTGAATGTTATATTTTATGAATGAAAAATAAATATTAAAAATATTTTACAAATGATTCAATTTTGATTTCTAATGCAGCAAGTATTAGCAGATATAACCCACATAAATAAGGCACAGTGCCCTCACTAATTTTGAATGTAAAAGGGTTCTGAGACCAAAGAGTTTGAGAACAACGTTCTTTAAGTGAGCATAAAACATCCTATTTCCACTCTCATATCCTAGTCAAGTATATTATCAACTTCCCCAGCATGCAGGCACTCCAGCATCTATAACTTACTCCACATGAATATCTTCCACTGTCTACAAACACATCTGCCCAGCTTTTTGACCTGCCAGCCCAGCTATACTGTTGTCCAGACAATTTGATGGTGCTCCAGACAAGGGGCACACATTCATCAGTTGGGAGCATTTGCCTTTTGGAATCTGCCCACAAGCTACAGTCCTCTAAACAAAGTTGATAGACCTTATGCTTGTATATACATGACTCCTAACTTGACCTTGCAACTCAAAGCAAACTCAAAATTCGATGGACTTGGTCACAGACTTCCTCGCTTGTATCTTCACTGGGGGAGATGAAGGGCATTTGTGTTGTTGGCACCACAAACTCTGATACAGGATAAAGTGCCCTGTATGCTAAGGCACGGCACCTAATATCCTGCTGCCAACCCACCATGCCAGCACTGATTCACTGACCAAAGACTTCACTTAAAGCAGCTGGGATTTGGAAAATGAAGATGAATCTGCTTGAACAAGCGTAGTTCTGAAAGCACCAAAGTCCAACCTCTTAAACACGTAAATGGAAAATAATTGAAAGCATGAAATTTTGAAAAGGTAACAAATACTTTGAATATACAAAAGTCTGGACTTTGGTCAGATGTTTGAAAAGACTTGAGAATTGAAACTCAGGAGTCAATGTACAAGTAGTGATCACAGAACGAGATACAGAATAAAGTCTAGAACTCTGGACACCAAATTTAAATGTTTTTCTCCGTATTTTATTATTTCTCATACTTTGATGTACATTTTCTGTCTCTGTCAAGTTTTCCTTTTTTTTTCCCTGCATTATTCTTTGTCACTCTGATACCCCAGCCCTAAATATTCATTCCTCCACATCTTTCTTTCTCCCAAAATCATTTGGAGTAAGTAAAAAGTGAGATACTTTAATAAAATTACTAATTTATTTTAAGCCTTTCTTGATCATTGAAAATCTAGATACAGGATATTAAATGGTTTCTTCCCTATCCTCTAGAGCAGGGTTGATCTTATGGCCTGAGGAAAAAAAATCTGGCCTACAGCTGATTTTAGTAAATAAGCTTTTACTGAAACACACCCACACTCATTCATTTATATGCTTTCATTGTAGGACAGTAGTTATGACAGACTACATTGCCAGCAAAGTGTGTAAAACATTTTCTGTTAGGACTTCTATTGAAAAGGTTTACTGAACCATGCAAACAATTTTATGGAGAGATTCACGTGTCACCAGAGTAAAAATGCCCCAAATGAATTCCATCCTTGAGCAGGGTCCTCAAGGAAACTTAGATCTGGTCCTAGGGTCCACTTTCTCAAGAAAGATAATTATATTCACTAATAATTATTTTCTTTTTTTCTTTTTTCTTTTTTCTGAGACGGAGTTTCACTCCTGTTACCCAGGCTGGAGTGCAATGGCGCGATCCCGGCTCACCGGTAACCTCTGCCTCCTGGGTTCAGGCGATTCTCCTGCCTCAGCCTCCTGAGTAGCTGGGATTACAGGCACGCGCCACCATGCCCAGCTAATTTTTTTGTATTTTTAGTAGAGACGGGGTTTCACCATGTTGACCAGGATGGTCTCGATCTCTTGACCTCGTGATCCACCCGTCTTGGCCTCCCAAAGTGCTGAGATTATAGGTGTGAGCCACCGCGCCCGGCCCCACTAATAATTATTTTCTGTAGGTTACAAAGATTAGCAAGTGACCAATTATGGCCTGAGCAAATCAGCTAAATGTAGACTTCCAAGGTCACAGGCATATACTTCACACCAGGCGTCCCCAAACTTTTGACACAGGGGCCCAGTTCACTGTCCCTCCAACCGTTGGAGGGCCGCCACATACTGTGCTCCTCTCACCACCAACGAAAGAGGTTCCCCTTCCTGAAGTGTGGCGGGGGGCCAGATAAATGGTTTCAGGGGGCTGCATGCGGCCCGAGGGCCATAGTTTGAGGATGCCTGCTTCACACCTTGTTCTCTTTTGCACTTTTTCTGCCCTTACTGCTTATGTTGTGTGTGTGTGCTGAGACCAGCTTGGTTGTAGAGACCCCAACCCAGGTGGTGCTGAAGGAATTAAGAAACAGAAACAAAGATAGAATGCAAAAAATGGGATCACAGTGGGACCATCAGGGATCTGCCAGCATTTCCCAGCTGACAGCCCAGAGCAGACTCTGACCCATGTATTTACTCTTTATAAACAAGAGATTATTTTTAATAAGCAGGTGCTCAGTGTTTCTTCATAGACTAAAGATAGGCTAAACAGGCAGATAGTGCCTGTTCACTACTAAGATAGAAATAAACTAAAAAACAGTCTTTGTGAGTCAACAATGGGGGCAAGGTCAAATATCCTGTGATTTGGGAGCTGGTTTAACTAGTGCATGACCAGTACATACTGCTTGCTTATTCTAGCAGTTTCCTTCCTGAAGATGGCTCAGTGTTCCTTGCCATCATGTCTCAGCAAACAACATATACTCCATCACACACACATCAAGACCTCCTCCCAACAGTGTGTGTGTATGTGAGTGTGTGTGCATGTGTTAGTATTCATTCTTTTTCAGGGAAAGAAGTTTTACTTAAAATTGTCTCCACACATTGGAGTGGTTAAAAGCCAGCATGATCTAGTGATGTATTAGCTACAGAAGCAGCTGGAGAAGCTAAGAACAACAACAAAAAAAAGGCCATGGAGATAAAGAGCATGCAATTGCCTTTAGAGTCTGGAGCCTTTTCTTTTTGCCAATACAAATGTCAATGTATTTGCTGGAACCTAATCAGCCCCTAATTTAGGCACATGTTTAAATAGTCTTCCAAGGCCACTAAGCAATGTTCATGGGAAAAAGAGGTGACAAACACAGGCTAGTTAAATAGTGGCATAGGCCTATGGGTCACCATGTGTTTGAAGTTTGAATAAGAAGTATAGTACTGACCCATTCTGCTGAGCAAAAGAAAAAAATATGGGCATTCACCACAGCTGATGAATCTTATAAGATGAGGCTGAGAAAGGAGGTCCCCACACATTGTAACATGTTCAATATTGATTATAAGTTAGAATTTATTGATGTCATTGAGAAGTTTTGCACACATAAAGTGCAGACAAAAATACTTTATTGAGTCTGAGAACTTTCAACCCAACTCTCCAGTGTCACGCTTTACAAAATGACTCACAGTATCTCAGAAACACAG